CGCTGCCGGCCTGGGGCTGAGCCAGCTCTTTCTTCTAGGCAGGTAGTTCCTGAATCTGGGCTGTAGGCATGTGGGCAGTGGTGAGGGTGTTTGCTGGGACCATCCTGACCAGGAGCTGCCAGTGTCTGTCCAGGGCCTTGGAAAATGGTGGCAGTTCCAAGAAGTGACTGGATCCTTCCCACCTGCCTTGTTTGGGGTATCTGAGGTCAAAGCGAACAACGTTTATTAATTTGTTGCATGATGGAAGCAAATCAGCAGGGCAGAGCTGTGGAAACTGATTCTCAGGAGTCGCACTGGAGTCCCCCGGCACTCAGGAGCTACCTGGGACTTCAGGCTGATGCTCTGGAGCTGTTTTGGATCATTTTTGTTCAGCCCTGTAGAAGGCTGTCTCTAGGACACCTCGCCCTGGGAACCTTGGGATGTCTTGTAAAGTGAGGCCTTAGGATTCTGGGGGTGAATTGGAGATTTCGGGCGAGTCTCTGCAGTGGGAGGAGGGTGAGGCACGGGAGGTGAGGACACAGGATGGCAGATGGGGCCAGGGACAGGCTGTTTCAGAGAGGAGCTTGAAGGGCTTGAAGGATTTCTGGAGTTGTTTGGTGTTCAAAGTTGCAAGGTCACAGTCACGGGTGATGATTGGCCCATGTGCTTGGCCACTGAGGTGCTGGGCAGGTTGTGTCCTCTCGAGGCTTTTTTGAGGAAAGGATTCCCCAGATCTCAAAGGAGTTTAGTGCAAGCAGTGATGGGCACCCCCTTCTTCTGCTCCCTCTGCCCTGTGCATTGGGGGCATCTCCATGTGCTTCATGGCTGCTCGTGAGCCATCTCCTCCTTCCCTTCGCCTGCATCCCAGAGCTGCAGCTGCAGGTGTGGGACTCCATCTCCTCTCACCTCAGGGGCAACGTCAGAGGCAACCGCTATGGATGAGGGAGGGGAGGCTGGAGCAGCAGTCTGCCCCTTGCCTTTCCCAGTTTGTGTTACAGGTAGAGCCCAGGCGCCTGGGAAGGGTTGTCCCCCGTGTTCTACATGGTGAACTGAAGAGAGAAGGGAGTTGGCTGGGGACCCACAGAGGGGGTGGCCAAGCCCTGGTGGGACCAGCTCTGTCCTCTGGCACTGCAGAGATGCTGAGGTGCACCTGCAGTTTGCTTACCTCCCTCCAGTGCTCCAGCCTGAGCAATGGGGGAGGCTCCTGGTGATGGAGGGAAACCCTGTTTGCAGTGAAGTAGGACAAGCCTTTCGCCTCCTGCCACCAGACTGCAGCAGGCAGATGACGATGGCGTTTATATCAGAGCCTGCTCTCCTCCCAGTGACACTGTTCCGGGACAGAAAGGATTCCCCTTTTCCCCAGCTTTTTCATCTGCATGTTTGCTGTGCTGGACTTCTCCAAGGCTGGTTAAGAGCTTGAGGAGGCAACCTGATTCAACCAGTTCTGCGAGGGGAGGCTGCGGAGCTGGTTGCTTGCTCTTGCGAGCCCTTTGCAGCCCGGGAGAGAAGCAGGGATGCTGCAGTTCCTACTGGGATTAGACTTTGCAGCTGGCTCCTCCTCCGTCTCTGCTGTGGTTGTATCCCCTGTCATTGGCACTTGATCAGCCTTCAGAAACCCCACCAGCGTGGCCGACGTGTCTGTGTTTTACTTTCAAAGCCTAGGATAAAACTGGGTTGTAAACAGTTTACAGCAGGGGTTAGCGTGACCCTGTAAAAGCGCTGCAGTATCTGAGCGCTGCGTAGTCCTAGGAGGAGACTAATGTGTGGACTAGAGCCCTGCTAACACAGTTCCTGGAACCACGCCTGGGCTGCATCGCTCTCCCTGCCCCGGGTGGGTGACCGCAGCGGGGCTTGCCTGCACCTCTGCAGGGAGACAGCCAGCACGGCCCTTCTCCTGGGCAGGGCGTTGGAGCAACTGGGAGGTGGAATTTGCTTTTCCAAAGACCAGTCTCCCCCGTGCCCCTTCCTCAACTTGACTAAGGAGTGAGCAGAATGCTTTCCCTTATTCCTTGCGCTCTGTTTGCAGATCCCTGCCCTGAACAAGGCGCTGGTTCTGTGCAAGCCCTCGCACCCCGCAGACCCCTCACCTTGCATTTCCCCAAGACCCCCGCTCAGACCCTCCCCGTGCTCCTCTTTGGCTGAGCGCTCCCCTTAGAGCCTCCCAGCCAGGGCTGCCGCTGCTGGGGAAGGTTTGCGAGGCAGAAGGCAGCTGTGGGAGAGGAAACCTTCAGCTGCCTGGCTGGTGGCACACCAGTCTGGGGTGGGAGAGCCGTGCTGCAGCCAAGCAGAGGGATGTGGGCAGGCTCTTGTATCGGCAGCCTGGACCTGAGCAGGGAGGACGCAGCTCAGGCATCCCTGCCTGCTGGGTGCTCTTCTTTCTCCTCCTTGCTCCCTTTTCTCTTCCCTGGCATTCCCTTCTTACCCCATGACCATGAGGCTGCCGCAGCGGAGGGTTGCACTGGGAGGACTGGGGTGCTCATGTGTCCGTGCTCATGCCGAGCAGAGCCACCCTGCACCTCTCCCTGTTGCCTCCAGACCAGCACTACCCCACCTGCCTTCCCTGGGCTCTGGCTCTCTGTCACCAGCTCTCGCTCTCAGCCTGTTGCCCCGAAGAGGGGTGCTCAGCGCTGCTGATGCTCGGGACCCCCAGCGGGACGTGCCATCGTTCCCATTGCCACCCTTCTGCCACCTGCTCCGGGAAGGGAAGGGAAGGGAAGGGAAGGGAAGGGAAGGGAAGGGAAGGGAAGGGAAGGGAAAGGAAGGGAAAGGAAGGGAAAGGAAGGGAAAGGAAGGGAAAGGAAGCTCCCTGCCTCCATGAGACAAACCTCAGTTGGAGATTTGGGCCAGATCCAGCCCTGCTAATGGCAGTGGCAGAAGTCCCACTGGCATGGGGTGGACCAGGCTTTGGGAAGGTGTAGGGAGGAAAGATGAGTATGTGGGACTCTAGGGGACCAAGCCAGGGCTGAGGGGCTCTTCAGGAGAGCAGGGGGTATTCCTTAGAGGAAACAAGAGGCCCAGATCTGTCCCTAGACCTGCTGGTGGTGTTGTGACCTCTGGTTCTTGCTTTAATTTTCATTGCAAGAGTGAAAGTGACCTCCCTGCTTTCTAGCAGTGTGAGCCCAATCAGCTCTTTGGGATCCCCAGATGGCAGACCTCTCCAGCACAGTGCATTCAGGAATGGAGGAGGGATGGGGCCAGGCTTGGATGTCACTGCCACGAGGGGTGCCATTACAGCTGGCGTGAGCCCCTGCAGCGGCAGAGATGAGCTCAGGAGCCATGCTGCGTGCAGCTGGGGAGGGAGAGCAAAGCTGAAAGCCTCTTCGTGAGTTTTGTGGCATCTGTACAAGGCTGGGGCTCTTGCCTCCCTCTCTCAGGTCACAGTTTTGGAGATTGCTGGGTTGGCTGGCATTTGGGTTGGATGAAGTCTTTTGTATAAGAAAGCAAATAACCTCTTTGCACATTCTCCCTTTGGGTATTATGATAATGTAAGGTCTCCCTGACCAAGCTCCATCGATACTTGAGACTTCAGGGCATTGCAGAGAGTGCCAGAGGTTTCCTTAAGTGGGGTTTTTCCTTTGTGAAACCCTGCACAGTTCCTATGGTGAAGGCACCAGCGCAATCCCTTTTAAAAAGGATGAAGTCCTGCCCTTTCCTCACCATGAAAGACCCGAGAACAGTTTCTCCACGCATCCCAGTGCAGACAGGGACGTTTGCTGGCAGCCGTGACCCACCACTCGCCCTCCCTGCTGCTGCAGGTGGGTAGGGTGCTCTTCTCTTCCAGCCTGAACACCTTTTAGGATGTTATTCCATCTTCGCTTTCTCTCCCACCAGAGGTGGCCGCGTTTCAGCCATGGAAAAGTACTTTCCTGTGTGTGTGGTTTGTAAAGCACTCGCAAAGCACTTCAGAGCCCCTTGGGCTGCCGAGCGTTGCGGTGGGAATTGCCGTTACCAAACAGAGACCTGTCCAGCTGCAGAAGGTCTCTTTCTCTGCCTTACAGACCTCTTGTGCTGCCCTGGTAGGAGGAACTTGAATGTTGCTGTCGGTTGTGACTGGGAAAGGGGGAGAGAGACTGGTGTGAGAGGGGCAGTGGGATGAGGTGTTGAGGTGGGTCCACCCATCGGTTGGAGCTGGCTGTGCTGGTGGGATGGGCACAGGAGCTGAGATATGCGGGGGAGATCCCCCAGCCTCCATCGTGCTGGGCTTCTGTACCCCTCCCTGGGATGTGGCAGAGGTGGGGGCTCCTCCCCACTGAGGAAGGGGGATGCTCAGAGTGTGGGATGGCAGAGTTGCCCTCTGCTGCTCTTCTCCACGACTGTCAGACTGCCCAGAATGCCTTCTCCCCACCCTCCCCTACAAGCCTGAGCTCTCCCTGCTGCCTTATTTTCCCTGGGTTGTTCAGAAGGTGAGTGGTAGCACCTACCACTAGACATCAGCTGGCGGAGACCTTTCCAGCTTCCCCATAAGAAACACCCTGTTAGAGCCACACACCACCCCCTGGCTGTCTCCCACGGAAGGGCAGAGCATCCTGAAGGGAAGAGGGGGTGACAGCTGCCCGCACTATGGGACTGTCATCCTGGGGGACATCCCAGCCTCCAGCCTGCCCGCTGAGGCTGGGAGCCCTATGGCTTCTGCTGTTTGTCCCCTTCATGGAGATGCATGGATGAGGGGTAATGGATTTAAATTGGAAGAGGGCAGATTTAGATTAGATATTAGGAAAAAAATTTTCGCTGTGAGGGTGGTGAGACACTGGCCCAGATTGCCCAGAGAAGCTGTGGATGCCCCATCCCTGGAGGGGTTCAAGGCCAGGCTGGATGAGGCTTTGAGCAACCTGGGCTAGTGGGAGGTGTCCCTGCCCATGGCAGGGGGGTGGAACTGGATGATCTCTGAGGTCCCTTCTGATCCAAACCGTCCTGTGATTCTCTGCAGGTGCCACCGCAGCACCCCACTGCCTGCTCCCCTTCCCTGTCGCTGCAGCCCACTGACTCCTCTCTTGTTTTCTCTCCCCTTCTCCCCGGAGCAGCAGCGGCCGGTGAAGCAGTCTCTCAGCAAGTCCCTGTGCCGAGAGTCCCACTGGAAATGCCTGCTGCTGTCCCTCCTGATGTACGGCTGCATGGGAGCCATGACCTGGTGCCACGTCACCAAGGTGACCCGGCTGACCTTTGACAGCGCTTACAAGGGCAAGTCCATGATGTACCACGACAGCCCTTGTTCCAACGGCTACGTCTACATCCCCTTGGCCTTCCTGGTGATGCTCTACGTGGTGTACCTGGTGGAGTGCTGGCACTGCTACACCCGCAACGAGCTGCAGTACAAGGTGGACGTGGAGAGCGTGCACGAGCGCGTGCAGCGGATGCAGCAGGCCACCCCTTGCATCTGGTGGAAGGCCATCAGCTACCACTACGTCCGTAGGACCCGGCAGGTCACCCCCTAACCCAACCGGGAT